ATGATCTTTCTGTTTTTCACCAGAGCCCTTTAGAGGTTAATATTTCCAGCTTTAGTTCTCAACTGTTTCTGAAAATGATTTTGTGCCAAATTTATTGCTCATGAATCTAGTTGGCATGGTCCAGCAAACCAAGGTTTCCTTTATTTCAAGTCAATGGATGTGTCTTGAAACTTTCCTCCACATCATCATACTTGAGGAAGAGCCATGTACTTTTTTTTTCAGATCAAATAGCTTAGTCAATTATTTTGAGATTAATGGCTTATCTAAAGTAATATATATATATATATATATATTTTTTTTTTTCCTGGTATCAAAATGTAGTTTAGAATGAATATATCTGAAAAGAACTTAGAAAGATATAACAATGTTTCATAATAGCAATGAAATAGTTAAGATGTTTTAACTGATATCATCATAAGAACACAAAATTGAAGAATCGTAAAACCTAAAATAAATCTAGCTCTGTATATTTTTTATTGCGGGGCTGGTGAAAGGGAGCACAAAATTTGTCAAAATATTTCTTTGAAAATTAATTATGGACCTCTTTGATCATAGCTGTATAACTGATTCAGTTAATTTAAAATTAGTAACTGTCTGTATCAGTATCTATTCAAAGATATTGAATAATCTGGTCAAGTATTTCCTTTATTTTTTCCAAGAGTAATCAGAATACAAAAGAGAGTGTCTTGTGCCCATCAAATCATTCTATTAGAGAAGTGCTGTGAAATTGAATGGCAAGAGATAAATATCTTTTTTTTTTTAATTCTTAATTTTTTGTACTAACCACTGCACTAGTTTAACTCCGTAGCTGTAAGCCTGATTTTATTTCTATGTGTGTGATACTTAGTTCCATTGAAACAAAATCACTTTTTTTTTTCTCATTTGTGTAGCTAGCAACCTTGGTTTGTGCCCATATTTGGTGTTGTGATTTAAACTTAATGAGTGACTATAGTAATACTAAACCACATAGAAATGTGTATGACCTCGTCCCATGGAGATATGCTGTGCCATCATTACGTTATCTGCCGTCATAAACTGTTTGATCTGCTGTCAGCATGACATTGTATTTACACACTAGTTTTTCAAAATGGGTTTCAATATTTTACTGAATTGCAGATACATTTTTGTCTTTTTCTGTTGTTTTTGATGTCCCACTGATGACTTTCGGCCAATATGCACCATTCATAGTAGCTGACTGTAGCTTAGAATCATAGAATTGAAGTGCTGTATCACTCATTCTGTTTACCGCCTATTCTCTACAAACTTTGTTTGCATTATTCTTTAATTATTTTTAAATATTTTTTTTGATGTGTTGTAAAGAATAAAATCTAATTTTCAAATGTCAAAACGACAGATACTTTTCTTTTAATTCCTATTATTTTGCTATGTCTATAAGATGATATGCTCTGAAAAAAAAAAAAAAAAAAAAAAGCTCTGTGCTTGGTGTCAGAGTTGAGCCACAATAAGTTATTCCCCCACTATGTTGTTATAATGTTACTAATGTGATATATATATATATATATATATATATAAATGGGAAAAATAATGTAGATGCTCAAACGTGACTTTGTTTATGGCTACTCCAGCCGTAGTTAGTCTTCAACCAATGTATGGCTGCACTGAAGAAAATAAAACCTTTTTTAATTTAATCATTTCATTTGACATTCTGTTCTATTGTTACTTGTGCATGAATGATTTCTCTCCCAGCTATTTCTTTGCTAATAACTAACTGAAGGAATCAGAACTGCAGACACTATTCAGACCATTACCTCATTGAGTTTGAACTGTTTGTATAGATATATTTCCCTTGTTTGTTTGTTTGTGTTTGTATAGAGAGATTTGTTTGCAATATTAATGATGGCAGGGGATGCTGTTTATTTCTCTACCACAGGTCAATGTACATGAATTGTTTTAATGGCCAACCCAATGTTACACACTGTGGAAAGTGCATGGCTGTCAATAATGGCACTTTATCATTTTGTTGAATGTTAGTATTTAATTTTTGACAATTCAAGTTGATAATAATCTAATTCATTAGCAGTTTCTTGCTTTCGTTTTTTTTTTAATACAAGAAATCCATGTTGCTGTAACTTTTTCAATGCAGTTTGTTTTATTGTAGTGAACACCTTTGAAACTACCCCTTCCCACACACACACACACACACACACAAGACTTTCTCCCCCCTCTACCTCGCCCCACCCCATTTGTTATTTGACTGTTTATGTTTCCGTTGTTTACAAAAAAATAAGAGATTGCTCTCCCGAAAATACTCAATCATAAATAATTCAGATAAACTGAAACGATGATCGTCTTTGATGACATTGAAACTGTCAGACATGGTTGTGTGTGAATAAGCTTTGGAACTGTAAGAGCTGAAAAGTCAAATTCCAACCAGTTGTCTCCACTTTCACTTTGCCCAAGTCATACAGAAGTCTGAACCAATTTGTTTTTTGTTTTCTTAGATTTGTGTGTAGCGTGTGGGCAAAAGTTCTATAACTTTTAATAGTAATGTCAGAAAAAATAATAATATGTCTGTTGACAATGAATAAATAAAATAAACAAGACTCCAAGAAAGCTTCACATAAAGTAGACCCTATTCCAGCTGGTAACATCCAATACTTCCTGTGTTTCAGCAACCTTTAGCTGAGTTGTGTTTTTTTTTGTTTTTTTTTTTCTGGGCTCTCCTGATTCATCTAGCAACATGGAAATAAATAACTTTAATGAAATACAAAATAATGGTGAGCATGTATATATGTATAACTATATGGTACATTTTTTTAAAAAAATTTTTTGTTTACCTTTTGTGTCTTCATTTTAAAACAAGTGATAAAATCTAGAATGAATCTTGTTGACATGATTCTGGCTAAATACTGTTTGTTTACTTCACTCTTAATGTTTGCTATTTATTTTTGTACAAAACAGAAATTGATCTTTTTTTCTTATTTCTTTGTACATAGATCTTAGAGATTGGATGTTTACATAGTTGACTTGATCATGATCATATCTCTCTTGTTATTGCACTGGATGAATTGCTCAAAAAATTGCTTGTTGTTTGTCATTGGACTGAATTCTTTCATTTTTTGCCAAATGCCTCACTATCCCTGTGACGAAATTGTCATTCTTTATTTATTGCGCTTAGTATATCTGGAACGTCTCTGTGTTTGTCTTGGAGGTTCATTGATCCATTTTATTTGTGTTTGGAGGTTCACCACACTTGTTTGACCAACACTCAAGTTTTGAAACAGTTAGAAACATTTTTGCCCTAAGTAGGAAGATGTATGAACATAGTCAAGACACTTTTTATTAGAACTCTATTCCTAGTTTTCTCTGCTTTGAAATTAGCTTTCCTTAAACTTTTGTATTTAACTGAAGAAGCTTTTTATATGTGTCAGTGAACTAAGAGATACACTTGTTCAACCTTGAAAGTGTGTTCCAAGCTGGTTTTTTTTGTTTTTTTATGGTATTAGACATATTTCCTTGGCTTCCCACTCCATAGATATTTAAGTTTGCTTGATGATGCCAATAAATGGAAAAACCTTTCAGCTTGAGTGTAGGCAATTTGTGAAAGTGTTAGTCTCTGTAGGCTTTTGAATTCTGAGTTAATTTATGCTTGTTGATGAAATGGTTTATATTCACAAATTGTAGACAGGGCTTTTACTGAATTTAATTGAAGGAATTGAATAGAAATAGTGTTCCTGTTCGACACTGAGTTGAGAAAACTAAACATAATACTGCAGTTAAGTAAATGTTAAAGTTTCACTCATCACTGATTTGTTTTATATAAGTAACATCTGGACAACACACAATTTGGTCGACATAGTTGTCTTTCCGATAGGTATTTCTTTAGAACATCTCAAGGGAGATTTTCTTTCCCAAGTGACTTGATTTTGTAAGACACTTGTTAGTCATCTAGTTAACTTAATACATGTCTGTTTATAAAACAATGTGCTTGTTTTTGTATGCTAAGAAATTGAACAATTCACATTAGAACTGTTGAGATTTCATTTTTGAGATGATTTTTTTTTTTTCTGTTTCGCTGTTGCTTCAATGAAACGCTGAAAGATATATAAAACACTTTGACTTTTTAACCACTGTACAGCTGGGTATATTTTTAGGACATTGGAGTGCCTGTCAGCCTTGGCTATTAATCAAATTTTACTGGCCATGAAATTGGAACTATTTGTGTGTGTGGGAACATCCAGAGTTTGAACACATAAGTATCTTCTCTTTTGAAGTAAGCTGTAATTCATTATAAGATTTGCCACAAGTTTCACTTGCTTGAGTTACCTAAAGGTACCAGACCTCCTTCCTAAAAATATGCCCTTTTCACTGGACATTATAACATTGTTAACCTTGCTGGCTGATTTACTATTATTGTATTCTTACGATGCTGTACTGTTATGAGGGGGAAAGGTGGGGATATAGGGCAAGAAGTCTTGATGGTTGTGATGGTTACATGTGAAGGCACCACAGTATGGCATGGACACTTTTGAAACTAGGTGCAAAAGCTGTAACAATTTTTTATGAGGAATTAATACTCAACTGTTTGAAGATTTTGATTGTTGATATCATAATCTTATTTTTAATTTGCGCTCTAACAAACAAGTGTAGCTGTGTGTTGACCTCAATGTTATGCATATATTTTGTTAATACATATTCATAACTTTGATATAACTGTACTTTGTTTCATTGCTTACATTTTCTTGTTCTATACACTTATGATATATATCTATATACTGTTAACAAAATGGTCATTTTTATTTGAACATTTCATTCAAGTATGGGACACAGTCATAAATTGATAACATTGCATGCAAGCAGCTTCCCAGACCCCAATGGAAATCAGTAGTTCTCCTAGTTTCTCAAGGGACATACTTTCAAAGAGGTTTTAACATGTCTTTTATTGAACTAGAGGGACATCACACAATATCAATGTCTGCCCTCCACCTTGCAAATTTATTGCATTATTTGTTTTGCTGATTGCACACTTTGGAGCCACTCCCCCCCCCCCCACCCCGCCCCACTCCCCATGTGTTGATGTGATGTCTGAAAACGTTGCAACCAATAATTCATCAGATTTTCATATACATTGTACAATAAATCTCTATTTTGTCAATCTTTTCAAGTGTAATATTTCAGAGATGACTTTGTTTTTGTTATACATCATTTTATGTTGGCAGTTTCAGTTTCAAGTCTTCAAAGTTTTTTAAGGGTTTTTTTTGTTGTTTTTTTTTTTTAGTTTGTTTTTGTTTGTCTGTGTTTATTTTAGTAGATGAACCTTGTTACATTCCTTGTTCTTGAAAATAGATCAGTTAGTTGAATACTATTCTACTAGAGTTTGTTTTTGGGTTTTTTTTTTTTTTTTGTATGTGTTGACAGGAGAGAGAAAGATATTAACATAAACATGACAAATAAAAAAGGGGAAACTTTAAAGAAACTTTCAAAACTGTCAGTCAAGGTCATCACAGGATTCTAGTTTTACTGATGTTTGTTTCATCTAAAGTTGACTCTTGATTGAATACTTGACTGGTGGAGAGAATCTAACAGTATGTGTTTGGGAAATTCTATTTATGATGTAAAATGATATTCTCTTAGAATTTCCAGGGTATAAACTAAACAAAAGAATTTAAAAAATTGATCTTAAAAAAAAAAAAAAAAAACATTAATTCAGCTTTGACATACTCTACTAGCTTACAATTTAAGCCTAGCTACATAATAAAATATTCATGCTACAGTCGAGCGTTTCTGTTACAAGAAATTAAGAAAACATTTTGAAAAATATTTCTACATCATTTATTAGGCGAGTTACATATTCATTAAATTTATGAGCCACATCTAAATTCTAAACATTAACAGAAAGTACAATCAAACAATCTACTGCTTTACAATAATCATTTCAATAGATTTTTTTTAAAATAGATTTTCTCTTGAGCAAATACAACTGCATTATATGAACATAAAATGTGTATATAATCAGAAATAAAAAAACTGAGAAAAGCAAGTTTTCTACCGAAGTCACCAGTTTATGAGCCAATTAGAATAAAAGCTAAACTCTTTGTGACTCATTAAAATGATGTACTGGTATGGCTCTAACAATGAGACTCTAACTATGAGCCACCATTGGCTCTAACTATGAGCCACTGCATCAAGTATCCATCAAAGGACTGGGCCACATCTTCACCCTGGATTACTTACTCTTGACTTTTCTGAGCCAAGTTTTTTCCAAGCGGAAGTTGAGAAGTTCCCAGATGCCTCTTAGACTTGGGTCTTCCCGCGCCATTCGGTGCATTGGACGGCAAGCTGTCGCCACAAAGATTTGTCACTGGCAATGTCTGAGTCACTGGCTTCAGACATTGATGCCTTTATAAATCTGATATCCACAAACTGAGAGGTCAACTCAGCCTAGAAAAAGAAGTTTAAGACTGTCATGCTGGATTAACATTAAGAGAGTAGAAATGTCTCAACCTACAAGTAAAATACAATGGAACATTCATGATTTAAAAATCTATACACTTATGTAAAATAGAGTTATTACATAATCACATATAAACATTGGTATTGATGTGCAAGGTATATGATCGATATATACTACATTAAAGTGGTTAAAAACAAAATTGACATAAAACATTTCTTGTGTACTATCACAAGTTATCAATAAATATAACAATAAAAGTGTTTTGTTTCATTTTTAAATAAAAGTTTTTACAATTCCAACAGACAAAAATATGTTGTTCTAAACCTTTCCCCCACCAGATCCATAGTTCCAACACTTATTTAATTTAAGCCAAACCTCAAACTTTGGCTAGCTATTTCTTTTGATATCTTATATCAAAATCTCAGTCTAAATCTAAAATAGAATCTGTAATAACAATTTGAACAGACCAGCAGAATACCAAATAAAAAATGTACAGTGGATGCTACTAATGCCAAGACGATTCTTTATTTAATAAAGCTGGTAATTTGTTATCAAGAAAGGGTATCGGCTGGCTTGCTTAAAATATGTTCATTTTAATTAGTTCCACGATGTCTTGCTACAAACAAAGTTTGTCTTATTGTATCAGGTGCTGAATCCACCCTTAATCAGCATTCGTCTTATAAGCACGGATGACATCTTTGATTGGTGCTCGGCACACAGGACAGCTGTGCCCACGATTGACTAGGTCCCTTCCACAAGTGTAGCAGACACACATGTGACCACACTGATACAAAACAGTGTCTGTGTGATGATCGAGACAGATGAGACAATGCGTGTCGTTGATTGGGCGACTAAGAACTGGAGGTGACACTGATAAGACAAAAAAAAACAACTTTTATTTTAAAGATTGCTAGAAAATAAACAAACAAACAGTCACTTAATGTTATAATATTAATGTATTTCATTTCTCAATGGAATTTTATTTCAGTCATGTAATATAAGTTTTGGAATTGGTTCAAACAGAAGAATATAAAAGGCATGTCTTTTTTTTTGTGTTGTTTTTTATTACCTATTTCTAGTGTTTGGTAAGGTAAGGTTGTTATTGATGGAATTAACTTTAAACACTACACTACCTCTACTACACTTATCCCCGGCTCTGCAGAAAAAAATTTTCTTCCCTGGCACTTGTTTTTTTAAGTCAAATAAGTGCAATAACGAAATTTTTAGTTAAATGAAAAAATTTGGTACGTCCATCTACCGAATTAATCGAAATAAACGTAAGTAAAAATAATTCTAAGTGTTTCGTTTTCTTATATTCTTTGGTTTCAATTTTAAGTTCACTTTTTTTTTGTCACAAAGCGCGGTTTATCAGAATTATAGCCTATTTAAAATAAATATTTTTTAATTTTGTTTTAATTGAAATGTCTAAAGAGCCGTCTTGTAAAAAATTTAAAACATTAACCCAACAAAAATTGTCTTTTACGAAAAATACTATAATCCAAAGAGTGAAATCTCACAGTGATGATCTTCAACTTCTTCAGAAAAAGTCTTGTAGTAAGTCATTAATTATTAATAATTTATAAATAAAATAAACCAATAAAATATTATAAGTTTATTTATTTTGGCTTTAATAGTTTGATTTGAAATTAAAATCAAAATTCATAAGCAGTTGAATATATATTGATTGATATTATTATTAATTAATATAATATATAAAAAAAAAAGTTTAAAAAATCTATTAGCTAGTAAACAGTGTTATATAAGCTGTCAAGAAAAATAGAATTAATAGGCTAAGATACATCTGATGTTATAAAAATTTAATCAAATGATAGATAGATCAGGGGATGGTATGGTGTGGGGGTGTTATTCAATGTTTATTGGAGAGGCAGGTCTGAAAACTGGCCTTCCATCCTACTCCTAGAACTGTGCCTGCTCTGACAGTCATTCATTGTAATTCATACTGTATTGTTTTCATTTTCAGGCATCGGGGACTCCAATGTTGTTTCAACAAATCTTAAAAAAATAGTTGAGAAGCGAGGATGCATTGTTGTTGATGTACCAAGTGATGGCAACTGCTTTTTTCATGCCATAATCGACCAACTTCAACAATCCAGTTGTGTAAATCCGATTTCCTCATACAATGCTTGGCAGGTGAGACAGGATGCAGTGACATATTTAGAAAACCATCCAGATTATATTGACGAATCATTTTTAATTAAAACAGACTATAAAGATTTCACTGCATATTTAGAATGCCAAAGATTGGATGGACATTGGTGTGCTGAACCAATAGTGCGAGCCACAGCAGATATTTTGGAAACAGACATACACATTTGGCCTGACAATGGGCACATCACGGTTGTGAAATGCAGAATGCAATCATTATTGGATTCAAAGAAAGTGGTTATCGGGCAAATTACTGAAATTCATTATGTCAGTATCAGACCCAAATGTTTCCAAAATACTTGCGATGAACCTGTGCATCAACATCAACATCTATTAGCTAAAAAATGAAAATAACACACTTTCCATTTAAAAGTAAATTCCATCTCAACAACAAACTAGTTTTTATTAAAAACTGTAAATTCAACCAAGATATTTGAAAAAATGAAAAAAACAAATTAAAATTAAAATAAATTTCAACATTAGAACCTGTTGTATATCATTTGTTTTTAAGTGTTGTATTGTAAATAATTTGTTTTCGCATGTTGTGTCATATTATATTGTAGTAGCACTAGTAGTTGAAGTGTTAGTAATAATAATAGTAGTAGTGGGAGTAGCAGGATTAGTAGATGGGCTCAGATTGTTGCGAAACCGGGATATCACTGTGAGGCTCCTTCCCGGCTCTGCTTTAACTTTTACTATATGGAGAGCTCCCTGATTTGGAAACCACTGCCCAGTTCATCTCATGTATTGGTCTAGTCATCTGAACACTCCAACATAACAATGAGAACGAACAAGAAGAAGAACAGGAGAAGTAACTTGCGCCTAAGTCAGAAAGCTTTGGGCTCAATAGCCTTGGTAGTTGGTTAGCTACCACAAGGAGAAAAGCAGCTAAATCCAAGCTCTTGCTTCTTTGCAGGTCATCACAAACATTTGGAAAGGTTACTGCAATCAACCCAAAGAAAACAAATGTGCCAGTGACCCTTGGGCAGCTTGTAGCAATGCTGATTCCAAACTGTATCCCTTTTTTGCCATTCCTCTAGATCCAACAGCAGAGTGGGGGAACTGTAGTCTGAGCAACGTCATTCTGATAATAGCCACTGCCCAGGCTTTCATCTTATCCAAGTTCTATGAGATGAACTCAAGTCATTTTACTACAGAGGCAGACAACAACAAATTACTAATGTAACCAGTATATTTTGAAAATCTTTCACTATAAAAACAGTGCTCTTGAAAAGGTAACATAAGTCAAGTTAGTAAATCTTTTCAGAGACAAAAGAGTTTTAGATAATAAGATGGTTTTGGCACATGTATAGGTCAGTGAGTCAGAATTCTCTACTCAAGAAAACATTAAGAAACTGGAACAGACACAAAATAAAGCAGTGAGATTCATAACAAATGAATATTCACATTTGACTAGAGTAACCTTTAGTAAAATCCTTACATTTAGAAAGCCTTCAGGATAGAAGACTTAAAAGTAAATTAGCAATTATCTTTTAAGACACTGAACCATAATCTTCAAATACAGAAACAAAATTTAATAAAATACTCAGAAAGACACATAGGTAAAGACACATTCCTCATTCCTTATGCTAGGACAAATTTGTACAAATGCTCCTTCTTCCCTAGTGCTATTAGAGCATGAAATGGGTTGCCTGAGCTAGCCAGGAAAACAAATGACTTGACAGATTTTAAGTCATTGGTTAATATGCATATCTAGATGCATGACACGTAGGACGTAATCATATCAACGTCTGTATTTTATAATAAATA